TTCTCACATAAACACACTGTGACAGAAGAGGTGTAAGTTGTGGAACAGTATCCCCATTCCCATGGCAAAGCTTCTCCTGTAGACATGCAAGGATCTTGATAAGGAAAATGATAATGTTCTTTAAGCCAGGATCAAGGTCAATGATCGCGTTTTTATATCTTTTCTCATATTTTGTTATTCTTATCCTCTGTACTGGTGTAAAGTTGTTTTATCTGTGCATGTGTGAGCATGTGCTTGTGTTTGGCTTGTTATTGGATTTGACACTACACAGACCCTCCTGCTTTTTATCAGTAATACAATGGAACTAGCCCGAGATTACTCACCAAGCCACCATGCAGTCCCTCTTTGCTCCCCGTGGATGTTGTGTAATTCTCAAATCTTAGCCATGCAGCTGGAGAGGCAGTAAAATCAGTGGGAAAAACAAAGAAACAATAGTGATGAGTTACAAAAAGGGCAGATTCAGGCCTGAGAAACAACTGTCAGTGCTGATGTCAATCAATACTTCTTTCGTGACTGCTCCAGGCGAGCCAAACAGATGTTTACACACACTTTTTTTTTTTCCATTTTTTAAAAAAGTGGTAACAAGAAGTCACGACTCAGTGGCGCAATTCAACCTCACTGATTCCCAATGCAACTTGTGTGGCACTTTGTGTTTGGTCTGAGGCAAGGTGAAACAACACGGTAAAGAAAACATTCATGAAGGGAGCTATCTTTAACAAGCTCTGCCTGGCTTGACTGATGCTGTGACTGAGAGGGGCTGCAGTGATAGGTTTGGAGCCTGGGACGACTGCCTGAGCACGCTCAGTGGGACACCCTCCCAGGCTTTTCCCACATCACCGGGGGCCGGAGGAGGGGGTGCAGGGGGCTGAGGCGAGAGGTGGGCTCCATTGCTCCACAGCAATCTTCTGGGCTGTGGCTGGGAAAGGCTACGGCCCACTGTTCTCACCATCTCCCCCTGTAGTCATAACCCAGCAGAGAGAGCATGAGAGAGAGAGAGAGAGAGAGAGAGAGAGAGAGAAAGAGATGGACATGGAAGGGATGACAAGTGACAATGCTCATGAATTTGGGGTAAACGCTGATTGTGAAACTGGAGAGATTCCAGCTCAGTTACACTCACGTCAATGTTTCCCTGTTGCAGAAGTTGTGTGCATGTCTACTCCCATGTCCAAAGCTAAACTGAAGTCATCTTTATCAAATGACTCACCAGACAACTGCATAACATTAACAACTCCATGTGCCTACGCAACATGTGGACCTTGTGCTTATATTTCAGCATGCATTCTGTGTCCAGAGAGAAGTGTTGTTTAATTAACTGTAGCATTTCACTTAATCTTTGTTTTGCTATCAGAGCACAGTGTGTATAATTTTGTCGTGTTTTGTGACGTACTAACGACTAAATTCTAGTGCTACCACTGTGGGTTGATCTAGGTAAAAGAAAAAAACATATTTTATTTACCTTAATGACTGTATTTAACTCTGAACATATTCAACTCATGGCCTGTGTGGCTTTATTTTTAAATGTAACATTTTTAAATAAATATATGCAAACACCTGTTTTTATTCAGCTGTGAATGAAACAGGTCACATTGCAGCTGTGAAGAGTGGAGCGCTGTGGAGTCAAGATTAACATAAATAGATTAAATAGACTTAATTACAATTGTAAAAGAGTGCAGTCCTAAAATCAGTAAAGCATTATCAGTCATATTTATCAGTCCTAATATATACTATATTATGGATTTCTCAGATACTCTAATAGCATATTAAAGGTCCTCTCCAGTTGTTGATTAATCATCTGTGTGTGTAAAAGGTACGTATTTAGAAGTTGTTTTTTTCCCATGAAAATAATAATTTCCTGCTGTAAGTGGCTTAGATTTAACTCGACAGTGTTGCTTCCTCTATGATGCATGGATCTACATAGTCTCTGCCTCTCTCTCACTCACCACTGCTCAAGCACACCAGCTCACCTATGACTTTTCACAAACTAAGTAAAACTAGCCTATACTACATATTGGCTAGTTGTAAGATTGGAGTAATTCAGCCCTACTTGTTCCAGTTGGATACAGATGCTTGCAGACATAGAAAGTCCCACCCTGCACATTGACAGGATTGGTTTCTTAAGTTTGTTACGTATAAAAACTCTGGAAGTTTGAGTCCTTGATTTTGAGACTGTCATTTGTACACTGCAGTTTCGAGGTGGGAATGCTCAGCCATGCCACTGACTGCTTATTTCGCTCATGATCTGTCTTCTAACATATAAAAAAAACCTCCAGATGGTCATGTAACTGGGTTTTCACTGGAGGGGGTCTCTAACTAACTGACCAACAAATGGAACAGCAAAACACAAGCACTGTTAACCAATGTTAATGTACACTTGCTTCATTTGTAGTAGTCACAGCTACAAGAGATGGCTTTAAATACATCATTATAGAATGCACTTACTTTGACTAGTCAGTCTGACAGCTGGATGTGCATGATGTTTACCCAACTGTCTAGAAAGATCTATCGGGTTTCTTGTTTGCAAGCAGAGCTACGCTACATTGCCAAATATCAGGGATGAATAATGAATCTTGATGGTGTAACTTGACTCAGTGCTAAAAGTACTTTAAAACTCAAGCTGAAGTAATAAGTACTTGAGAACATCGGCTGGGAGAAGTACAGTCTTACTTATGGAATCTAAGTAGAATTGTGTTTGAAGTCAACGTGTGTGCAGTGTACCTAAAGCAGCAACAGCACTTTCGGTTTCTGCACACTCAGTCATCCCTCCCTGTTAGCAGATGAGAACGAGTGGGCGGCAGTGGCAGTCGAGATAAGGCCTGGTGAGCAGGAGGAGATGGGGAGGGGAGGCCGTCTGTTTTGAGGGTCAGTGACCAGGCAACCATTAGCAACTTGCTCTACATTTGTAAACACAGTGTATTAAAAGTGAAGTGGTCACACATGCATATCAGCATGCACATGTATTTCTATTCATAGATAGACATACACATGCACACGCTCACACGCACATGCTGGAATGACCAAGAGGATATAGTCCGCTGATTTGACAATCCTCTCTACTTTCCGTTTAGCTGGAGCTGCTCTCTTCAATAGGTCTCTCTCTCTCTCTCTCTCTCTCTGTCTGTCTCTCTCTCTCTCTCTCACACACACACACACACACACACACACCCTCGCTAAAAGAGGCATATACAGGAAACCACCTTTATCAGAACCTCCACCCCAGAAGTTTTTTTTTTTTTGCTGCATCCGCAATGCTGAATGCCTTCAACCAGCTTGAACTAAAATATCAGCACTGTGACAGCTCTGCACCACAGTCCTCCTCGAAACAACTGCTCTGCAGAAAAAAAACACAATCTGTTGTTTTTATTGAACCTATATGACTTTAAAAACCCACTACCAATGGCTGTTGATTATTGTTTCATACTGAGGAGGAGGATTATTTACTTAAAACATGACATGTATATAAATATATTTTCTCTTCTATCTCACATCTGCCTTTTTTTTGGTATTGTTAATATTTTATTTTATTTTGGTATCTGTTTTCTGCTCTTTGCACCAATGGACCAAGTCAAATTCCTGGTGATGTAAAAATTACTTGGCAATAAAACTGATTCTGATTCTGATTCTGATTCTGATTCTGATGGTGTAATGTTAGCATATGATGAATCACTTTGATTATTCGTCTTTTTTTTTTCCAATTTGGTCAGATGTCAAACAAAAATGTCCTAATTAGGGAATAAAAGTTTAAAGAGCTGCTCACTCTGTGTGTCAACACAATAATTTCTTCCCTCCACTAAGACTTTGGTTCATGCTGACAGGCTCTTTACCAGCAGCTGAACTTAAAGTCACTTCCAGTTATAATACTGAGTGCATTTATCAATTCACATTTTTACTATTGGCTTTAAGTTATGTAAAAAATGCAATTATTTTTACTGTCATATAGAGGCATACAGCAGCCATTTCACTGGTCTGCTACAACAGTTGTTAAATTGCAATACTCATTACTCAGTCCAAGTGACTTACAAGAACTACGAAGTCTCTCCATTTCTCCATACCTCTTTTGACTTTTGACTGGAAACATGTTTTCTTTTATTCTTTTGTGCTGCACACATCTCAGATGAGGTGGTCAGATGAGACGATGGGCACACAGAACACAAGACTTTGACAATGGAGACAGGTTTTCCAGCCGATGTAAGCTGTTGCAACTAAAACACTTTGGTTGTGGTATAGGAAACTATTGTATTTCTAAGTAGTTACTGGAAAAGTAAGCATATCCAATCTTAGGTCACCTCTTAGTTTTTTAGTGTTTATAATACTGTTCGCATAGTAATAGAAACACACAATATGGCTTAATTTAACTCAAAATAATTTCCATTCATCTTTATTTTTATGCAGTACCAAATCAAATCATAAGTCATCTTCGGGAGCTTAACATAGCAAAGGTCAAGACCTCATAATATTATAGAGCGAAACCCAACTATTTCCCATTTAGCTGCACTTGGTGACGGCGGGGAGGAAAAACTCCCTTTTAACAGGAAGAAACCTCAGACAGAACAAGATTCTGGGTGGGTGGCCATATGCCTTAACCGTTAAGGTGAGTGGAGAGAGTAAAGATGAGCGGAGAGAGAGAAGTGAGTTTCTATCAGTTTCTTTGAAAGGTAGTTTCTATAAACACTATTGTAAGAAAACGAATTATATACCTTATGAATTAGTTTTTCCCTCACTGTGAACATTTTGGGACCTTGGAGGTACTTTAAATGATCACATATCCTTAATATATTAATTAAGTCTTAATGCAGGAGACATTTATTCCAATTTTGCCCTACGCACATAAAGATCCTATTCATGCCATAAGGCTGCAGGGTTCAAATACATTTCAGCATGATGATGACGCATGATTCCACATTCCAGTACACTTAGTCAAATACTGTTGTTATTAATTAATTAATTCATTCATTCATTTAGTATTGCTGAGGCAAGACAATCAAATGAGAAGAGATTAAACATTGATATTACAAGATGCATTTATTAAACACTTTGCTCAGTAAAGCTTGTATATGCTACCATGTTGTTGTAGAGTATGTTTGCTTATATTCACCTCTGATTGTTAATCAGGTTAAAAACCTTCCAAATCCTCTACACACTTCTACTTATCTTTTCATACTGTAGATACGTACATACATACAGAATTACAATCGAGCAATAACATTAACCAGAGACTGGGGTGAAAGTGTAAAGGATGAATTAATTGAAGGACACAAAGTATGACAAAAACAAAAAAAAACAAAAAACAACTACTGTCCGCTTCTTTCTTTATAGTTTCACCTTCCTCACATATACTTTATATGTAACAAGCAAATACAGGGGCGCCGCTATGGCTCACCTGGTTGAGCTGGTGTCCCATGTGCAGGACTACAGTCCTGATGTGGAGGTCATGAGTTCGACTCCCACTCGTGGCCCTTTCACACACATCCTTCTCCCCCACTTTCCTGTCGCTCTCTCACTGCACTATCAATAAGGACACAAAGGCCAAAAAAGTAACGTTAAAAGAAAAAAGAAAAGCTGCTGCATGCTACCACTGGTGAGATTTTTTTTTTCTCTTTTTTCTTCTTTTTTGAGTTATATTTACATTGTCTGCTACTGTAGATTTAGATTAACAGTAAACAAATAAATTTTGTTCATACAAAACAATAGAGGGATGTTTACATATAACTGTCAAGCAAATCTGAAGCAAACTTTTGCAGTTTTTGCAAAAACTGCTTTCATCACAAATAATATCGGCCACATAGTGTCATCCGAATATAGTTGTATAGGCTATGTTATGCATTAATGTAATAGAAGAAAAAGAAAAAAAAACAAGAAGATAGAAAAAGAACAAAAAACCATTGGCCATCTAGGAGAGAAAAATTCAATTCAATTCAATTCAATTTTATTTGTATAGTGCATATTTACAACAACAGTCATCTCATGATTTCCAGGACTCGGAATGAAGTTTGCAGTTTCTAAAACCGTTTGTGTAATGCAGGTATCCACAACAAGGCTTTATGCAAAACATAGTAGGTGATTGCCATGTCAAAACCCTGGTCTCTACTTTCACGGAAGTAAAAAAAAATCTCAGTACTTCTTTCAACATTGACGGCTCGCTGGACAGTTAAGGCTCGAGACAACTTTAGAGCTATCAGAGGACATGATTCTCCTCTTCTGGCTAACTGCCTCCCCCCACCTCCAGCCCCTCGAAGCTCAAGTTTTCAGTCCAGCCTCTCCACAGAGCTCACAGAAATGAATTTTATATAAACCTCCCACCCAACTTCTGGTAAGATAGCAAGCAAGACAAGCTTCCAAGATGTCAAAGTAACAACTGAATTTGAAATTTTAATCACTTGGCTAACATTTTACTTAATAAAAGGAATAGCATTACTGCCTAAATGAGTCTAGACCATCTTTTCAGCCAAGAATGTCCAATAGAAATAAATGCATATATATTGTACATACATATTTATGTGTGTGCATGTGTGTGTATATCTCTGAGTAGTGAGTGAAAAAAAAAAGAAAAGAGAGCAGCATTCTTTGCAGGAAAAGTAAAAACTCGCTTGGGGCTTTCAGTGAACTGACATAACACGATTCTCACATTGCTGCATATTTCATACCTTGTTAAATATAATTAGAACAACATTTACAGGAAGAAATCTGCACCGAGTGCATTCATTACAGCCACAAGTTAATGTTTACAAAAGAGTGATGAATAATAATCACAGTGTTGATAGCAGATGTAAAAAAAAATGAAAAAAAATGAAAAGAGAGCTATGGTGTTGAAGAGAGGCGTAGAGATTGCGCAGCTGGGTCTGGAGCTGTTTGAGTAATTGCAAACACTAAAAAAAAAAAGTTTATTTTTAATCATGATTACATGTCATCAGATGGACAATGTAGTGTACGTCAATGTTTGTGCTGACACAGAAGTTTGCTGCATAGGGAGGATGAAAGATAGATATGTGATTCAAATCTGACAGATATAATGCTTCTTCTATTCTAAGTAGGTTTAAATATATCTAACAATTGCTTAAAAATTTGGAGCTCTGTGGCGATGTACCAAATTATTTGCATTAGTTAAGAATGTGTTTGAGAATGAGATGATACACACAACTAGACACATACGCATACAAGTGCAGCAGAGACAAGCGTCACCCCTGGGGTCTGCATGTAGAAGCAGTTTTATAAATTATTGTGTTACACTCTGGCCCAGGAAGACATTAATGCAGAGCATCTGTGGGTGTCAGGGGCTAGATCTATGTATTTCTGAGCACAGCCATGTTTTTTTATTTACCTATGGATGAATAAAGAGATGATTTATCAATTCACCTCTTGTGTTTCACCCTCTCTCATTCCCCTCCTCTCCTCTGGAGAATTAATCATTTGTCTGACACATGCACCGAGGCAGACAGGGAGGCAGACAGAGTGAGCGAGATAGGAACAAAGATGATGGGGGGGAGGAGGCTGAGAAGGATAAGGATGGCACGAGTCAAATTGGAAACATATCCTTTCAACATGTCCTATCTGAACATTTTATCTAGGAAAAGAGGCACAAGGGGGATGACCCTGATGGTTCAAAGGCCTAACTCAATTCAGTGATGAAACTATGGGCAACTCCTCACCAACTGAACAAAGTACTACAGCTGTTTAATGGAAATAGAGTGTAAAACTCCTTTCCCAACATCTGCAACCCATCGAATAATTATATGAAAATTAAGATAAAGGTGGGTCAATATCAAGGACATACATGGATGCCCACATTACTCCTCCCTCCTTTGAAGAAGAAGGACTGGCGAGTCTTTGGCCCATCACCCTGCCTCTATTTTTATCTGGACCCAGGTGGGATTGAATCCAGATGGGGTACCTGATCACCTCTCCCGTTCACTTGCTCTCTGCGCTCTGAGCTGGAGTTTTCTGTTCTCAGATCTAACCCTTTCAGTGCCAGCCACACTTCATCCCTTGGGCTCTAGGTGAAGCTTAGCTGGGAATTGAATTAAGCAGTGAAAAAGTGTCTGAATATGAATGAGTGTGATTCCTATAATGATATGGAAATCCAATAATTGGGTGACAAGTGGGATTTCTTAATCCTTGTTTTTCATGCAAACAAGATATTACCTGTTAACCGCGTCACTTGTTTGGAATTAGATCTTTGCAATCCATCCTCTACATCACCTATTCTTTATGACTGACCACCGTAATGACCGCAGTGTTAAAATGGCTTGGGGTCTGGTGACTTCTGCACCCACGACAGTGTTAGAATACAATACATTATAAAATATTAAAATAATAAAAATAAAGTCTTCAGTGGTGATTGTGCAGCTTGACTGCATTATGGGCCCATTCATTTTAAGTGGTAGGGCAACAGGGGGTCATGTCTTATGATCCACTGGCGGAGTAGAATACCCTAGACCCAATGGGTTAACCTAACAGGAAACCTGGAGGATACACCCTATTAGGCCTCTACTTCCTGCTACTTTGAGGCATGTACAATTTATGAGCCTAGAGGTACGGTGCACCACTGCACATCTGATGGATTTCCTCTTTCGTTCTCCAAAAAAGACTGAGCCAGAGCATTTTATGAAAGAAAAATGAGAAAAATAGAAAAAAAAAAGCCAGATAAGGTGAATAAAAGAACCATCTGCAGGGCATTCTGTAAAGCCTTGTGCCAAACGGTCTGGAAAGAATCACACATCTTGGCAGTACAACCTATAAATAAGCTCTGATCCTTATAATTCAAATGAAATGTAGGAGGATATTAAATAAATCCTATTGCCTGAAAGCCAATGTATATCAGTGCCAATGATGTGAGTACAGTAACATACCAGGAATAGGTACTTACTAGAAATAATTCAAAATTGCCAACAGATTTACATAGACAGCTTTAGACAGACTGCAATTTCATTTGCTACTTTGATGCATTGTCTCTCTCACCTTTGTCACATTGAACTGTCAGACATTCATATACATGTAGGATACTTTTCTATTGGTTGTTGGTAGTTTCTTTTCTCTGGAAATGGTTTCACATGAACAAGCAGGAAAATTACATAACTTCAACAGTGCAGTGGTGCAAAAATGAAAAACCACAATACCAAATGCAGGATAGCAGTACAAAACATAGCCCTCAGTGGGTTATCATACTAAAAGATGGTTACCTACCAATGTCGTATCATACTGCGAAAGAGTCCTGTTTATAACAATCATTCCTGTTTTAAAGATCTTCTCTTAAGTTTTTGTAAGCTTCAGTGGGGGAAAAAAAATCTGCATAAACCGCTGTCTGGAGGGTTCTGAGTTTGTTTGTGTGTGTGTGTGGGTGAAGACAAGTGGCAATTACGCATTTACCAAACCATCAAACAATGTCTCTGCGATGTTTGCGATGTCTGCAAGTTTCAGACACTTAATTCATGACGTGATATGTACTTTTTGTCCTCAGACTTCCCCTTGTGTAGCGCTGCAGCCTAGCGTGACAATCACCTTGTGCTGTACTCTCTGTTACATGTTATTTTCCACTCAGGTTCATATTGTCTTACCTAGCAAACACATCATGGTTAAAGGTTAAACAATATTAATCGTGCATATTAATTCAAATAATAAAACACACACACACACACACACATATATATTTACATATATATATATTACCCTGTATTGATTTCAGGAGCAGAGCAATGAGAATAGACAGACAAAAGAGGCATGAGAGGGATCTGTAAGTATAGGAGGGATGAGGTTAAGATGAGTTTGAGGGGGATTTAACAGGGAGGAGGGCTGGATGGAGAGTTGCTAAAAGAAGTATCTCAGGAAGAGGAGGATGAGACAGGAGATGGGCAAATAGACTCCACAGCTGTCTGAAATGATAGAGCAACTCGGTATCTTGCAAGAGTCTGTCTCTGACTACAATCGGGCTGCAGTAACACACTGATCCCTGCATTGCTCAGATACAAACCCTGTAGATCTCTTTTCTGCGCTTGCAACTTCAAGTGGAAGATCAAAGCCTGGGCCAGTCAATGGGTAAGCTTTAAACAGCATGATTCCAGTGTTGAGAGTGACAACACAGCTATAAATTTGTTCATGACCAACCACACAACATTGGGCATATGATAATGATTAATAAATATAAATGGAATGGAAAGCTACAAAGTTAGTCACCCATAAAGCTGGAACATTAAACACACATAGGTTTACTGCATGGGTGGAAGATACTGTTCAGCAGCACAAATCTGTTATTCAGAACCAGTCACCATTTTCCAAATTTTAATTATGATATGATCATTTCTGTTATCATTCTGATTCTTGGCATGCGAATTGATTTAGTAGAGAAGCTAGTTAAAAAAAGGCAAAAAGCAGTGACTTGAAAGCACAGAGCACTTTTATAGTATGTTAAGCTTTTGGAATCTTACATATTCATGTATACGAAATGACATTATGTTTTGTGATTTTTTGCCCCCTGCAAGGTTAATTGAAGAAAAATATGTTGTGTTTATTTTGCTATGATCAGAGAATGCTTTTCAGTATGCTCACTTGTGTCCTCTCTCCTTGTATAACCTGGAAATCAGTTTTTCATCATGGAGGGTCTTTCAGTTCCTTAAATGCACCTCAAAGACATGAGAAGCAAGAAAGGTAGCTTCCAGAAGCTGTAAAGAAGTGTTTTACCAAGTGCCGTGACATGTTCCCTATAGCATGATTGGCTATCTAACTGACAGTAGTTTGTCCTGAGTCAAATTTATCATTCTTTTTTCACACAAGTTATTCTCACAGCGCTTACTTTGTGGTGCCATGTATAAGCATCTAGAGCTAATATAATAGAACATAGCTAAATGGGGAGATGCAATATAGTGTGTTATAAATCTAGCGCTTTAGATAATTTAATTGCACAGTGTTGTGGCACTGCGAAAAAATGACATTGTATTACTTTTTACTTGGGTATGTAAAATAATGTCCATATCTAAATAAATAAAGACCTCTTGGATTTGTAAGGCATCTATAGACCTGTATGAGATTTTCATGTCTCTTTTATTCTATTATCCATAAAATATACTGTAAGGTTTTGAAATTGTTCTTAACTAAAGGGTTCTTCAGACTTTCATATCATTCAGTTAAAAAGGTGATACAGCTGTGCAACTTGTCATAAGTAACTGATGTCACCTTAGAGGGATGTTACAGAACCAAAGATTTCTCATTTGGCAGCTTGGGCTTCAGACGGGAGGAAGCGATCCAAGTGAGAGGAGCGAGGACACACGTTCTAATGAAAAGCACTCACAGTTTGTTGTTCAGTCGCTTGCTGTTGCTTTTACTTGCCAATTATTTTCACTATGATTAATACTGTGAGCTGGATGCCTCAAAAATGCTGAATACTGAAGGAAACATATGTTTGACATGCTACCTCCCATACATCAAATTATTCTACATATGGTGATCACCTGGTAAATGTAACTGCAGTGCTTATCCCGATTTTAGCTTTATTTTTGTCTCCACCATGTCGCAAATGGAAATAGTAGGAAATATTATTTTGTTGTTCCACTAGTTGCAAACTTTGCCTATTTGTAAAACAGCTGTTTTCTATGGAGTCACAGAAATGATGAGTGTCGACAAAAACTGCAAAGCTGTAGGTTGTAAAACCAAAAACAATGAGCTGAAAAAAGATTAGTGCTGAGGGCAGCTGCAAGGTTTGATGATAACATTCTGTGGATTCAGCACTAAAAATGACACCTTCCACAGCTGTTGCCACCTAACAAACCTCCCTATAAATAGGTCAAACTTAACATAAATTATAAACTGGCTCTTTACTCAGTCCTACTGCACACATACATGACATGCTTTCCTGTTTGCAATCAGTTGACTGTGCCCAGTTTCTCTCCACCCTCATCGAACAAAATGCTGCAGACATAATGCTATAGTTAACAAGGCTGTGTACGTGTCCAGCCTCTCGAGTGTTTATCAAATATTACATCAGATATAACAGCAATGATGAAGTCATTTTCCTATATTTCAATCTGGATTCGCACTTAGTGGAAAGGTAACTTTGGCTGTCGTCCAGACTATCTCCTAAATAAAACAAAGGGCATTATTAGCCAGTGAAACAAGCAGTGAATGGGATCACGTAGGCTTGAATGACTAATTTGCATTTGGATGACTGATATATCTGTTGCACCTTGGTACAAACACATATTGTCTTTTGAATAAAGACGTTCTCAGTACAAAAAAAAAAAAATCCTCCCATTTGCGCCTTTTGAAGGCCAAAGTACTTGCCCTGTATCAAAAATAACTTGCCTCTCCCACTAACAGATGATGACATTTGGAGTACGATTTAGCCTTGTCGCCAAGTTACTATCAGCGTGGGGCCTTAGGTAAACACTGTTGATGGGACCCAATGGTCCAGCACCAGCACTAGGCTGGGAGGACAGGCAAGTGTGCAGGCCCTTGGCCCTGCAAAGAATCAGCAGAAGCCAAGCAGGAAACATCTGGAAGACCCAGTGCAAACAGATGTCGGAATGAGATAAGAGCCCATGAGTTAGAGTTCAGCCTCCCATCTCTGTATGATGAGGCTTTGTAATATCCAGGTGGGCCGTAGCCGTGACTCCAACAGCTCAAAGGTCCAAATAATCAAACTGCAGGTTTTTTTCTCACACGAGCATCTGGTCGAGGCTGTGAATGTTGTCAGTAACTTGTGTTCCATTGTTCCTTGTCTCATTTTGATCCATTGTCGGCCAGACTCTCATGAGACTCTCTTCATACAATGTTTTTGCTTCTCCAGGTCACCATTTACATCATTTCCTGCCATAGTTTTAACATCAGCTGGGCAACAAAGTAAAGCCTGCATGAATGGTTGGCCATTCACTTGTAATGCCCACACTTCAGCTTATTGTTGTGCTGGAGATTGTTTGATACTGAACTGCAGTGTCAACTCTATTGTTTATTTTCAATTGCTCATCTAAACACTTCAGGCCATAGTTTGAGTAAACAAAACAAAAAAATGGCACCAAACTGGCAGAGGCATGTATGCATGTGGTTGTAAACTGGAGTTTAAGATGTAAAGTAGTGTGTTCCAGTTTTTAACCCTTTGCCTCACTATCACCACAAAAATACTCTCACTCCTCCCTTACTGATTACTTTGCATGAGGAACATAAAACAGAAAGGAGAAAATAACAGAGATAAATTATGAAGAAAACTATGTCATTCGCACAGATGAGTAGAAGCCACAGGGGAGGGTTGGTTCCTGTTAAACTATAAAAAGGTCCCTCTTGGGACATGAGATCTGAAGTGGAACTCACAGATTGTTCTGCAATCAGAGGCGACTGCACACCACCAGCCTGGATCTTCATAAACTGATAAATAATGGGTCCTTGGTGGCAGGGAAAAGTTATAGAAAAGTTACTCAGAGAGGAAATGTGAATAGATCATTTCACACGGATAGTGGCTAAAAAGTTAGCATCAGTCTTTTTCACTATACCAAACAACACCAATAAAGCTAGCTAAAGGTAATAAAAAAATATATGTTTATCATCTGGAAGCTACTAACCTTAAAAGGTTGTAAATGTTATTGCATTGTTTTCAAATCAGACTTTTTAATTAATAAAAAGTTTCAGGTAATAGATGAATGGGCTGACAATCAGAAAAAATAAAGGTGTTAATTGAAGCCAAAAAATGGTCCTTTGCCACAACGCCATAGGAAACCATTTTCAGTTCCTTAAGTGGCGTTCCAAGGAACTTTAGCATACATAGATTCTTTGAAAAACCATTTTCAGGCTACAAGGTGGCTCGGTGGTTAGCACCATCACCTCACAGCTAGAAGGTCGCCGGTTTGCATCCTGGTGAGGACACCCGGGATCCTTCTGTGTGGAGTTCGTTTGTTCTCCCCGTGGAGCATGGTTTCTCTCTGGGTTCTCTGGCTTCCTCCCATACTCCAACAACATGCTTAATTTGTAGGTTAGGTTAATTGGTGATCCTAAATTGTCTGTAGGTGGGAATGTGAGTGTGCTTGGTTGTCTGTCTCTAAGTATAGCCCTGTGATAGACTGGTGACCTGTCCAGGGTGTCCTGTGCCTTTGCCCTAAGGCAGCTGGGATAGACTCCCAATCTGATCTCACTGTCCAGTATGTATATGTGAGAACTCAAATGGCAAAAGCATCTTCCAACTGAATACAATTTTGATTCATGTACAGGACTGCTGTGAGCATATCAGATAGAGACATGACTCAGATTTTCTCCACTCCACAATGCCACGACAACCACACCCTTTTACCCAGAGTAA